AAATTTTATTAAATAAATTTAATAAAAAATTTTTAAAAAAACAATAAAATGTCTAATTTCTCGGAAATTAATAAATTAAAAAGAAATATGAAAAAGTTGAACAATGTTGAAAGTAGTGTTGAATTTTTGAAATGTTGCGTTAACAATAGTCTGTTACCAATATATATATATATATATATATATATATATATATATATATATATATATATATATATATATATATATATCGGTAACTAATTTTCATTTAAGCATATTTCATTAAACGCGATGCTTATATTATTGTTATTTAATTTTTTATTAAGATTTTCTATTTTTCTTATTAGTTTTTTATAATTATAATTTAAATTAAAAATTAGAACATCAATATTCATTATATAATTATTTATTAAGCGACGTTTCGAATTTTATAATTCATCTTCAGGCAATTTAATATTAATTCAAATAAAACATAACAATAAACTGTCAGATGACGTAATAAGAGTTGAGCGCGAAAGTAACGTAACGATTAAAGTTAAATAACGTAAGTAGTTAAATTAAGTATAATAAACAGCTGAATAAATTGCTTCACCTTAACTCATGTTTAAAATTTACTGTGAAAAAAGTAATGACAATAAATTGACCTATCTTGATATTTTAATTGATCAGTTAACACCCAACACATTTCGCACATCTGTTTACGTCAAACCAACCAACAACGGGATATGCATGAAAGGAAATAGCGAGTGTCCAGATCGGTATAAGAATAGTGTGATAATATCGTATGTCAGACGGGCATATTCACACAGCTCTGAACCACTTGAATTTCGTAAAGAACTCGATAAAATAAAACAATTCCTTGTCAACAATAATTTTAACAATTCAACAATAGATAAAATAATGACCAATGAAATTAGAAAGATTCAAAATAATAATATTAAGGTAAATGATAACAATGAAAACGTTAAAAACAACTCAAGTTATAATCACAATGTAACCGACAATGATAACCACGTTTCTATCGATCATAACAGCCATAACAACACAAGCAACACTGACAATAACACAAGAAACAACACAAACAACAATGACGACAATATAAGTGATAATAACACGAACAATAATGATAGACGTATTATCAATGATCATGATAATGATAACATAAATAACAACGAAAACAATGGTAACCATGTTACTATTGTACAAGTCATTGTCGATAACCTAATCAACAACGACAACCATGTTATTTCCAATAATCTTGTCAGTAATGTAAACAACTCAAACAACGACGTTGTTGCTGATCATGTCGGTGACAATGATGCAAACTCTATTACCAACTCCAACAACAATAACAGCGACAATAACGATGACCATGTGGATCATGACAATGATAATAACACAATCAATGACAACCTCGTTATCGCAAACTCCATTCATAACAATAACAACAACTCAAACAACAATACCGACAGTGCAAAATTAACTTTATTTTATCGTAACTTAATGAGCTCTTCGTATAAAGAAGACGAATATATAATTAGAAAAATCATTAAAAAAGGAGTCCATCCAGTTGATTCTAATGAAAAAATAAACCTTCTTATTTATTATAAAAATTTTAAGTCGCAACAACTACTAATAAAAAATAGTCCCAACGTTAAACTAGCAACAACACAGCACTCCCACGTCATCTACCAATTTCTATGTCCTCACGAAGACTGTAGGCTTCGTCCATCTTCTTATATTGGAATGACTACCACAAAACTGACACGCCGTTTAACCTGCCATTTGAACATCGCAGCTCCAAATCAACACTACCATGACTGCCACAACCAGCAATTATCCCGCAAAATATTAGAAGATAATACTAAAATATTAATGAAAGACACTAATTTTATCAGACTACAAATTTTAGAATCCCTATTTATTAATATTTATAAACCTAATTTGAACAAACAAATTTATTCCAATTTTATTTTACCTTCATCACGAAATGTTTAATTTATTATTATTATTATTAACATAATATTACACATATAATATATTTTATTATGTTATATTACAAAATAATTGTTTATTATACTTAATTTAACTACTTACGTTATTTAACTTTAATCGTTACGTTACTTTCGCGCTCAACTCTTATTACGTCATCTGACAGTTTATTGTTATGTTTTATTTGAATTAATATTAAATTGCCTGAAGATGAATTATAAAATTCGAAACGTCGCTTAATAAATAATTATATAATGAATATTGGTGTTCTAATTTTTAATTTAAATTATAATTATAAAAAACTAATAAGAAAAATAGAAAATCTTAATAAAAAATTAAATAACAATAATATAAGCATCGCGTTTAATGAAATATATATATATATTTAAGTAAATAAATAACAGATATTTTATACCAAACTTAAATTATTTTATAGAGATGGACGACAAATTTTATTTAATAATTATAAATTATATTTAAACGTTCACCACTCTCAAATCATTTAAATAAGATGAACAGCTCTGTGCAGTGGAGAAGCTTATTCACTCATTGGATTTGTCCGGACATAAAAGGTTTGTGCACTTGTTTCTTGTTTCATTTTTTCCATCTTCATCGTTTACAGACGTGTGGCTCATGATGTCTGATGATAAATAAGTTGATGAAGTAAAAAAGTTTTTCACTGCTTGCAACAATGACTCAATTCAATCAAGAGCGAATCTTTTGATTCTAAGCAAAAATTATGGACGATTTAGCTGTCAGCTGAATCATGCAAATGTCATCAGCGATATGTTTGAGAGCAGTCTTGATGGAATTAGAAATGTTGAGTAGAAGGCAGAGAAGTTGGATTTTGAAAAAAGTTGGTTGCGAAGTCTAATTGACACAAGTCCTTTAATCAGTCCAAAAAGATAATTGCAAAGATCTTCAAATTTAGAGTTGGGTTTTTTTAGCAGAGGCAATGTTTGTGCAGTTTTTTAAGTCTCGCGGTTTAAAGTTTCAAGAATGACTTTTTAATCACTTTCAGGAGAATATGGACCAGTGTGGATGAATAACGTGTTGTTAGGTTAAATGAAATGAGTTTGTCTCTTAAAAAAGAGTTTATCTTAAGCCTAGAGCACACGAGTAGACATGCTGCGCTATTTATTCATGGACCATTTGACGACGGTGAGCTACAGTCCGTAACGAGTCCGTTGTTCTTAGTCCCATCCAACGTCCACACTAAAATATGAACTTCTCTTTTGTAGCACTACGCAAAAATTATACCAGAATTTAATTAAAATGAAGAATAACAACAAACAATTATATTCTTAACTCTTTAAATTTTAAATTCTAATATCCAGTTTTGTTTGTCCAGAAAACGCTCAAAATTAATTGTTTTGTATTATTTTTTATTCTGCAAAAACGTGCAAGGTATGAAACCTGGAAAATAAGATTTATGATTATAAAAAATATTAGCTGACCAACGACAAAAACATTTTGTCATCATAAAATCCTCTACAGAGCAGGAATTTTTGAAAGGTTTAAATTAAGTTGAGGTTTAAATTGGGCGGCGCGATGGTGTAACGGTAAAGTGCGTGGTACTGCTCTCCGTTGCAGTCATGACCTGATTCGATTGCAAGAGAGATGCCCACCCATCATCACATGCAAAGCGCCTGATGCTATGTTTCACGCGTTATTACATGCACTGTGTGTCTTGTCCATGCTTCTGAGGAATATTGAAGAGGGAATGGTGATAATAAGTTTTTAAAGGAAATATTAAACAAATTAATTAATTTTTTCGAGCTTGAAATATTTTTTGAAGTATCATTGTATCGATTCTTATCGATATTTATTACTTATTTCCATTTCATTGACTTGTTTAGTGAAGAAGATGACAACGCTACAGAACTGTTCAAGCCAAAACAAACTTTCAATCCCTATCTTCAACATCTCTACCAGGTTCTGTATGAATCTTTATAGCACACACAAACACATTCACACACACACACACACTTAACTGTCACACACACACACACTTAACTGTCACACACACACACACACACACATATATATATATATATATATATATATATATATATATATATATATAAAATACCAATTATATATATATATATATATATGGCATAGTATATATATATATATATACGAATATTTATATGGCGCTAATTAAAAAGTTTTTCAAAAGCGCTTACAAATAAAATAACATACAAAATAGTCGAAGACAAACGTTCATCAAACAAATAAATCAAACATTAAATAAACATTAGATCAGTAAAAAAAAAATATATAAACATCAATGATTGACACTACAGCGAAAATAAATATGTTTTCAACATCTTCTTAAATTTCGCAACACCCAGAGCAGGGTCTCGTAGGTCTTTGGGAAGACCGTTCCAGACTCTAGGACCGAACACGGCAAAGCTTCTAGCTCCAAGTTTCGTTTGAGCCAACGGCACCGACAGATAGTTTAAATCGTCCGAACGCAGGCCGAGGGAAGATGATGCTTTCGACTGACATTTGTTCTTCAAATACTCTGGTGCGGAATTATTCACACTCTTGAACACTATTGTGCAAACTTTAAAAATTATTCGCTTGTCGACAGTCAACCAATGAAGCTGATCAAGAATCGGATATACATGATCAAATTATTCGCTTGTCGACAGTCAACCAATGAAGCTGATCAAGAATCGGATATACATGATCAAATTTATACGCACCATGAACAATTTTTGCTGCACGGTTTTGAATAGACTTTAACATTCTAATAGATTTATCAGGTAAACCATAATACATACTGTTGCAATAGTCCAACCGAGAGTGAATGAACGCATGCATTAAACCTTCAATCGTGCTTTTGTTCAAGGATTTTCTTATAGAACGTATTTTATGTAATTGAGCAGCGCACACTTTAGTTAGTAGTTTGATGTGATCAACAAACGTCAATTTTGAGTCAACGATCATTCCCAGATTAGTGGCATTACTGCTACACTCAATATTATGTACATCTAGAGTAACAAAATCAATCTTGACTCGCGACAGCTGCTGCCATGTGCCTACTTTCATCAGTTTAGTTTTACTCTGGCTGAGTTTCAGTCGATTCGATAAAATCCACACACTCACCTCAGTCAAACAATGCACTAATCTAGTAACAGCATCTTGAAATTTATCGGCAGGACAGCTGACAATCATCTGTATGTCATCTGCGTAGGCATGACAAAACACCCCAGATTTATCTATTATTTCTAGTACGTCGGACGTATATAAAAGAAACAGTATCGGTCCCAAAACCGACCCTTGTGGTACACCAGATGTGACAACCTCTGTTATTGACAACTCATCGTTAAATAAAACCTGCTGTGTTCTTGACGTGAGATAAGAGTTGAACCATGAATGAGCAACACCCGTGACCCCAAAACTGAAGTGGATTCGTTTCAACAGTATCTCATAGTCGACGCAGTCAAAAGCCGCGCTCATATCTAGGAACGTTAGCAATGAAATATCCTGTGCATCCACAGCCTTGTATAACACCGACGATATCTGCAGCAGAGCAGTTTCCGTTGAGTGGAACTGTCTGTAGCCTGATTGATGAGCAGACAACAAGTTGTTACGCGCCAGATACTTCAACAGCCCCCGAGCAACGATACGTTCGATGACCTTTGAAATAAACGAAAGATTGGTTATTGGTCTATAATTATTTAAATCGCTCGCATCCAGATCTGTTTTTTTAAGAATAGGTACGACTATGCCATGTTTGGCCATTTTAGGGAATTTTTCTGTACTTAGACATAAATTAATAAGTTTTGTTAAAAATCTAGAAAAGAGGAGTATATGCTTTTTAAGAAAATGTGTTGGGAGACTGTCTAAGATACACGTTTTTGTGGGAGATTCACGTATTACCTTCACAACATCATCTTCAGTACATAATGCGAATGACGAAAATGTTTCACCATCCTTGGTTGGCCTGCTTGGAAATAATGGATCAACACTACCTGATGTAGCCTGTCGAACCCTGTTTATTTTATCTTTAAAGAATTGAGAAAAATCATCTCTTGTAAATTTCCTGTTGTCATCATCGCAACTGTTGTGAAGGTTTTTGCAAAGCATTTTGTTAACGTCATTCCACAATCGCTTTGGATTACCTTTATTTTCGTCCAAACGAGTTTGCCAAAACATTTTTTTTTCCGTAAAAACATGGTTTTTCATCTTGATAGCATTGACCCATTCTCGTCTGCTACTATTTAATAAAGTTCTCCTGTAACATCTTTCCAATTTTCGACACTTCCTCTTTAGGTGCCTGCATTCTTCATCAAACCATGGGACATTCAAATCACATCGACTCTCAACCATATGCAATGGTGCAACCTTATTGACAATATTACAGACTGTGCTATTGAACAGTTCAAACATCTCATCAACGTCCATGCCATCACAGGGTGTGCTTATAGGGGAATCGTGAATAAGCCTAATGAATTCATCATCCCTCACTCGCTTCCACGACCGAACCATCTTCATAATTCATACAGGTTTTTTAAACTTGAAAGGCAGACAAACTTGAACTAGGCCATGATCGGAATAAATTCCACTTGGAAAAACTTGAGTTTCAGAGACAAGAATATCACAAGGAATGGCAATCAGGTCCAATATGCCACCTAGTTCGTGAGTCGGTTCATTAATAACATTTCTAATATGAAATAAATCGAAAATTTCAAACAGAGTTAACGTGTGCGGGCTGTCACGTCTATCAACACGGACATTAAAATCACATGCAACAACTAAATTGGAAGTTAATATTGTCATACTCTCCAAAACAGATGACAGTTCCTTAAAAAACATAGGAGTGACAGGCAAAGACCCAGGTCCGTAGATGGCCAGGAATAAGTAGTCGTTCCGATTGCATATAATTTTTATTGCGATGGCTTCAAAAGTATTTAGTTGTTGTAGTTCCAGTCTTCTAAATTTAAAAATAGACTCAAAGTAAATTATTAATCCTCCATGATTAGCATCATATGGTCTAAGGTAATCAACATAACTGTACTCTGCAGGTTTAGCAGATAAAACAGATATTTCATCGTGAGATCTATGCCAGGTTTCAGTTAAAATAAGAACATCAATTTTATCTCTAATTATTTCATTCACATCATCTTTTTTATTTTTTATAATTGACCTTATATTCAACAAACCTATTCTGAGTTTTTCGTCTTTTTGATCGAAGTCCTTGATTTTTCTGCCGCTCGTCTTTCTTTCTGAATCATTTATATTTTCATCACCATTTTTTTCTGAAATCAAATCTAAATCAAATTTGTCAAAACAAATTTGACAATTTTCCATCTTCCATTTTCCTCACTCTATATAAAAACCTTCTTTGTCCGAGTTTTCCTTCAACTTTGCCTCATTTGTCAGGGTTTTGATTTCCTTTCGCTGTTCAATCGTTAAATCATGATTCAACCCCACATGACGAAGAGTAGCATCTAACGATTTCATTTTGAATAAATTTTTCACAATGGTGTTTTTTATTTTAATATCTTCAAAACATATCAGTAGCGGTCGAGCCACACCGTCACTTTTTTTTCCTAGTCTTGCCAACCTCGTTATGTCTGTATTTTAAGATTTTCATCACTGCTATTTTGTCATTACCTGTAGTCTCCTCAGCTAGTCGAAACATTATTAAATTGCATTCTCTCGTCTTCAAGTCACTGACATCATTCAATGTTTTTTGAACAGTCTTAACCCCTCTTCCAATGACTTGACATTCTTTTTAACTTCACGACTCACAATGCTCGCGAACGACATATTCATTTCAGTTTTTAGATTGTTTAATTCACCACGTAGAATGTCAGGTTGATTGAATTCTCTTCACTGGCGCTAACCGATGAATTGATGTTTTCAATTGCAGATTTTATTTCCCGATTTAGTTCATTCAGTTCATTGAATTTTGTTGTCACCGCATTTTTATATGACTCGACAGAGTCAGTTAATTTCTTCAAACTCGGTCCCAAGCTCGAGCACTTATCGCAAAACCAACGTAAATTGTTATTTGTTTCCAAAATATCACAAATTTCATCTGGTAAATTCGCGCAAACTGTGGGAATGGTAATATCGCACTGGTAACATTTAATTCGTTTGTCTTTCTCTTTCATATCCTTTCTCTTATTAGTTGAACATTTTAAACATTTCTCCTGGTTGGCCATGCTAAAATTTCAACAACAGCAATAATAGGAGTGTATGCGTGCACGTTCAACAGAAAACTAATTATATATTAAACTCAAATATTAACTTAAAAGAAAAACTAAATTAATTAATTAACTCCAATTAGATTTAAAAAAAAATTATATTTTTAATCTCCTAAATGTTTCCTATAAGTTAGAACCAAAATTAACGAAAAAACACGAAAAAATCAACAAGAAACCTCAGAAAAACGTAACCAAATTGAAATGCCGCCAACCAGTATGTATGTATATATATATATATATATATAATGCCAATTATATATATATATATATATGGCATAGTATATATATATATATATATACACATACTTAATTGGCATTATATATATATATATACACTAGTGAAAAAAATTGCGGAAACACATAGCAATTTTTTTCAACTTTTATAAAAAAACAATTTTATGAAGCCAAAAAAATACTTTATTTATATTTTTAATTCGTTTATTTATTAATCACAACTTATTAATCAAATATTTGTATTAATTACATATAATTTTCATAGTTAATTTAGATTTTTGAAATTTTTTGGTTAAAATGTTGTTTTTTCTTAGTATGTTGTTGGATATCCTTTTGACTTGATTACAGCCTGACACCTACTTGGCATGCTGTCTATTAGTTTCTGCAGGTCCGTAGGAACCAAGATTCAATAACAGTTGTAATAAGTTCTGTTTTATTTGATGGTCTCTTTCTAGCCACCAACCTCTTCAACAGGGCCCATACGTTTTCAATTGGTTTGAGATCTGGACTGTTTCCGGGCCAATCCAATACCTTCACTTTGTTTTCTTCAAACCATTTTTGGCATTTCTTGGCTGTGTGACATGGGGCACCATCATGTTGAAAAATAAATGGCTTTCCTTTCCCAAAAATATCATGGACTGAGGGCAGGAGCTTTGGCTGAAGAACGTCTTTTATATACTTTTCTGCATTTATTGTTTCATCCAGCACTTGTAGTCGGCCGACTGCATATGCAGCCCCACAGCATTATAGACAATGGATGTTTCATGGTAGCTGTTGTACATTCTGGCAAACAGTCTTCACCAGATCGACGGCGGATGTAGCGAACACCATCACTTTCGAAAATGGATATGCGGGTTTCGTCACTCCATAAAACGTTACTCCACTGGTCTGTTGTCCAGCTGACATGCTGTTTGGCCCAAATGATGCGTTTGAGTCACTGTCCGACATTCAGAAACGGTTTTTGCATGGCATTCTAGCTCTCAGGCCTGCTTTTATTAGTCTCCGGCGAACTGTCATATCAGAAACAACAACTCCAGTCTCAATCAGTAACTTGTTAATTTCTATTGCACTTGATTTTCGGTCCCGGAGAGCTAGTCTCACAATTCTTCTCTCAGTTTTTGGCGTTGTAGCTTTCTTTCTGCCTCATCCAGTCTTGTTTTTAATTGATCCAGTTTCATTATTCCAGCTGGTGTGACATTTCCACCAATTTTGGCTGCAATAACTCTGTAACTATACCCTTCTTTTCTTAAGGTAATGGCAGTAGCTCTTTTTGGGCGACCAATCATGTTTTTTGATAGCACTCATAATAATTTTGCCTTAAAAATTAAATAAGTTTATATTTTTATTAAATTTCAACACTTTATTAAATATTTTTAGCAATTAAATAAAATTATGAAAATAATCATTTGCGTAACTCGGAATAGGTAAAATTAGTTTAAAACATGCATTGCAAACACTACTAAATTTTACTAACAAAAAAAATACGACAAAAATACTCTCCGAGTTAACTTTTTTATTATTTTCTAAAATTAACATAACACTTACTTTTGCCGTTCAACACTTGAAAAATAAAAATTAAGCAAATTATTTTAAATTTTTAAATTTTTTTGGACGCGATGTTAGTAAACATACCAAGAAATCAACATTAGTTACCAAAAAGCATATATAAGCAAGCGAATTTCAGTAATTAAATAGCGGGCATTGTTATAACTAAATATTAGACGTGTTTCCGCAATTTTTTCACTAGTGTATATATATATATATATATATATATATATATATATATATATATGGTGTGCGGGCGTATGCACTTGTGCGAAAATCGAACCGTATTTATTTTTATAAATTTATATTAACCGTTATTCGTAATTTTACTTTGATTCGTTTGTGTTACTTACATTTTTATAAATGTCTGGTCTATATGTAACGTTCATTATCGTCGATGTGATATAGTATACCGACTGAATGATCACGATTAAAGCTAAATGGGAGTCAATAATATTTTTTTTCTTGGTAACGTTTAGCGTGCGTGTAGTACAAGTTGAAATAAATTTAATACAACTCTAACGTTGACTCATTTATCCAGTTGAATCGCATTGATTGATTGATTGATTGAAGATTTGTTACTCAACAGTGCATAGAACATAGAGCAATACACCCTTCTGCTGCTCTGCCATCATCTCACTCAAATGCACTGACCCATCTAGAGACTCCACAGCAGATGCGCGATGGATCTCAAGATGCGTTAAAAAAAATTAAACAACTCTTCCCCATCAAACAATCTGCCGATGTAAGTTGTGCAACCAATATCTTCACAGAAACAAAGGATATCAGGTTCATTTAACAAAATAAATTTTGACAAGACTGCATTTAAGTATAATATTAATATGTATGCAGTAAATTAGTATGTAAAATTAACTAATTAACAATTAATTTGTAATATATATATATATATATATATATATATATATTACATATTATATATTATATATTATATTTATATAATATATAAATTTAAATTAATATATTTAAAAAATAATTGCTTGCTAAATGCTAAGTGTAGAAAACTGAAAATTTCTTCAGTCATAATTTTTCAAATGATAAAATAACGTATTTTTCATAAAAGATTTCACAATGCTGCAAATTTTGATTAAAGAAAGTCCAGTCGTAAATCGTAATTGAATAGTTTTACTTTTAATGCGCTACTTGTAAAATAAATTTCGTTATTTTCTGCATGGTACAGTTAATGTAAGTAATATAATGACCGATACTAAGTGTATATACTGTGGTTTTTTGAGTTTATTGTATTGAATTACGACTGTTACGAAATTTAGGGAAAGAAATGATTTCGAATAAAATGTTTCATTATCTTAATAAAAATTCCTCACATTCTTATAAAAATAGGTGAAAAATATATTAATATTTTCTTTTAAGCACTGGTAATTTGAAAAGTGCTGATGGCAATGACGACGTTAAACATGCGAAAATGAATGATTTTTTAAAAGAGAAACTGACCAAGGTAATTTCTCCCATACTGCGTGACATGTTTGTTTTAATCTGCCGAAACTTCTTTAATAACATCTTCAACCTCTCATATACTAACTAAAGTAGCAACCAGTTTTTGTATCCGTTTTTCATTTCTGATGCTTTCACGGATTAACGTTACGTTATAAAAATTGAAATATCAACTTATTTTACGTGGATGTCTATTCATCTGTCTACGAATGTTATTTCAGCTCGTTTTTGTTAAATACACTTGATTGTTAATGCTGCGTGATGGTAATTCTAGTAATTATAAAATATTTTATGTCTTCAGTTTGACAGTTTTCGTTCTTAGTCGTAGAAATAAAGAAATCAATTGCAAATAGATAAATTTAATTAAATCTTTTAATGTTCTAAATCATTCATATTACGTGCATGTTCTTGTATATATACGCACATTTATTCTCCAACCTTTTGTTGCTTAGAGATTGTCCTAGGATGTTTGAGCATGTAGAACATTCCTTACTAATCATTTCGGGTCCCATTAAATCATGAAATTTGATAACACTGGTAACTAATTACAGGTTGGTTCGATAAATCCAGTGGAAGATTTTCATGAATTGATCCTTCACGACAGCAATTTATTTCAAACTGGTTAGTTTACCCGAATTTTAAACTTAATACTTCATTTCACTTCGTTTTAGTTTATTATTTCAGCTAATTTTTACAACATGAGGTAACTAATGGCTTACGTGAGACAGGACATGGCTTATGATGTAAGGATGCTGGTTCAACGTGAGACAGGGCATGGCTTATGATGTAAGGTTGTTGGTTCAGCATGAGACAGGGCATGGCTTATGATGTAAGGTATGAGACACTGAAGATAATACGAATTTAGGACATGAGCTTGACAAAATGATCTCTCCCAAACTATTCATATGATAGTTGACCTAATACAAATCATTATTAACGACCAAAGAAACTGGCAAAGCACAATACTGTTAGATGATGAACATGCATTTTGAGTTATGTTTAATTTGACCTCTTTATGATATGCTAGTTTAAAATAAGAAAATGCTAGTAAATTTAATCTTTTGATGAATTGCTAACGTTTTTTTAATTTAAATAAATTTTTTCAATAGCCTGTGAACAATTACAAAGTCAGATAGAACAGCTTATTGTTGATTCATTTGGTTCTGACCTTTATAACAAAGCTGTTAATTGCATTACAGCCCTCAGAGTGCAGTGTATTAAGGTAATTTTCTTTATAACGATCCGTTTTTTGTTTACATTTACATTTAAACTTGGCGTATGTCACTGTGGCCTGAGTGGAAAACTGTTATATAAATATGAAATAACAATTAACATCCGCTTGTGCGCTTAAAAAAAACGATTTTCAGAAAGATTTGCAAGTGCAAAACTGTTGCTATATGAAAATGTATTTCATTAATTTATTGCAGAATTTGTCGGCAGAAAAATACAATAACTTTTTGAAATCCCTCAAAAAGTTCATTATTGACAAACAGAGAGTTAACTTTTGGTCAGAGATTAAGACAAGTGAGGCTTGCATTTTTTTTGTTTTTCAACATTTGAAAATTTGCTTTATAACGTAATTGCATGGGCATTTTAAAATCTTTTTTGATAAGTTGGTATCTCAACTTTTTTGTTTATTCTAATTTTAAATTTTATTTTTTACATGGAAATGCTTAGTAGCTGGCTCAACTTCATATAACAACTCTTGCTTGTTCGTTTAATAAATGATGTCACTTATGTACAGTTTATACATGAAACTAAGTTTCATGGGCAGCATTGGCATCGTAAGCAATGAACGACGTGTTTCACACCAAAACTTAATTTTAAATTGGTTGAATAAATTTATGGTTACATCTTTATGATAGGTATTACATTAAAATTAAGGCATTCTGATTGATTTTTCTGCATCACAAATTTCAATAATTTGCTATGGACATCGATCTGAAAAATCGAACAACGGAAAAATTAAAATTCTGAGCAAATCTTTAAGCATGGTTCAATTTTTGAACATTAATCTTGCAGGTAATTTGGGGTTGATAAAATCGACTGAGTGTGAATCTAGCTCGGTTGATGATGCAAAAGCTGAAGAATTTTTGATGATGAATGAGAAAAACGAAAATGAAAACCAAGATGCCGACAACCTGGTAAGCTTTTATTAAATACTCACAATAATATTTCATAAGAGGATCTGGATCTGTTAAATGCGAAATTGTCGCAGTTTGCAACGCGTATATGAAACTTTTAGTTATCAAACTTTGAGTGAAAGATAGATATTATTGTAAGAGTTGATTTTAAGAAAATGAGTGGTCAAATGCTACATTTAGCTGCTTCATCACCATCACATCACGAATTCGAAGGGATGCCATGCAAACGTTCAAATATATATTCAGAAACAATTTGGAGAGAAAAATCGTCCGTTCAGAAATTTTTTACCATTTCAAACTGCTATAGTTTTGCTGCAATTGTTTCTGTTGAGGAAACTAATTTTCATTTAATTCTAACGTTGAAATATTTGACAAATAATTAAAAAAAATTATTCTTTACAGCTTCAAGAGTTGGAATAATTTTTGTCATCATGGTGGTTGCTTAAACAACGCTAATGAAATGATATAAACTGTAAAAAACAGCATTTAAAATATATAGTTAGTTGTGTATATTGTAACGTAATAAGTGTTGCATATTTGTTTTGTTAATGTTGACCTATCGACAATATAAATAAGTTTAAATGGGAACTTCTGCTACACAAATAATCAGGCACTATGACGAATATTTAATACGCCGTCTTACGTACGGTAAATTAGTGGACAGTTTTTATGGATTTCCATGAAATTTAGATCCTGTTTTCCCTTTGTTTGCAACGTCACTGAAATTTAAACATTTCTTGTTACATGAAGTTCATCTAGTTTGTTTCTTTATAGTTTCTGCTAATTATTCATTGTTCTAAAATTTGTTAAGATTTTCAAAATTTTCATTCAAATTGTGTATTAGTGAATAAATGTAGATAAAGATCCAAGTTGTTATAACCTTATAACAGATAATTTGTTGCTAATTGAATAAATTAATGTTGAACGGAGAAACAAAAAATCAGCTTATTAGCTTATTGATTTGAACATCGTCCATTTATTGCAATCATTTATCATTAATGTTAAACCGTTAGTTACTGTTACGTCTGCGATAAGAATAAGAAAGCGAGGTCATATGTATGTATACCATAGGCACCTTAAATTAAGGACTGACGGCGCTCATGCTCGGCGTTTCAAACTTGACTTTCTCGAAACCTGGCTTCATTTTGCGTAAAGGTCAAACAAACCACTTCACCATATAACGTAGAATTTGTTATGAACCATAGACACCTTCAACAAGGGTGGTTTATTAAAAATGAAATATATTTAGTAAACAAATTTCCAACTTTTACTGGTGTTTCTTTAACATAAATCTCCCAAACTTCCTATAATCTGTTGCAATTTAGTTATAATGTTGAGTAATATACTGTACGCACATGAAACTATAACCACATGACACCACCTGTTATAACAGTAATTATTATTTATTTAATTATTATTATCAATTTAATTATTGGCAATAAAATAGCTATGTTTTTCAAATTTTTTATTGAAATTAAATATTATAATTATTTTTAACTTCAATCTTACTCTCATAGCGAGCGTCCTCATTACTCGCGTCTTTATTGTCTTGCACTATTTTTGTTTTGCGCCCTCCTTATTTTATGCGCTGCGCCATTTTGTCGGTGAGCCATGATATATATATATATATATATATTTATATATATATTGATAATAGACCATAATTTTTACAATATTCTGTAAATTCTACCGATTAGGTAGAATTTATAGAATATTGTAAAAATATATATATATATATATATATATATATATATATATGCAAATTTCATTGAAATTGTTTGCCCATTTTGCATTAATTAACTTCTTTATAAGACATTCAACGAGGCGGTATTGTTTGAGTTCATATTTATCTAAAACTGGAATAAAGCTAACAGCGCTGTTTCGGCGTAATGCCATCTTCAGAGCCTAAATATTGTTTAAACATATAATTTAATTAAAGTAAATGCCTAATGTAAAATGTGAAAACATAGAAAATAAAATATGTATTAAATTGTGAAATAAATTAACCTTGTTGTAAATATCATAATAACTAAAGTTTATGTAGATTATATAAATAAAATAATGTAATTTAAATAAAATGTTTAGTAAAATAATTAAAATATAGAAATTTTATAAAAGTTTTAACATGGTTGAGAAACGTTAGTGAAAACTAATTACGAATGACATGTGCGCCAGATATATAATATTGCTGTGTATGCGTTGTGAATACAACTATTGCGGTTGAATATGGTGATACGAGTTTCCACATCAGACCTACGGATACATAGTTAAATATAAATACATATATGTACATGCAAGATACATATCGATGTATATAATGTCATTCGCACATGTCATTCGTAATTAGTTTTCACTAACGTTTCTCAACCATGTTAAAACTTTTATAAAATTTCTATATTTTAATTATTTTACTAAACATTTTATTTAAATTACATTATTTTATTTACATAATCTACATAAACTTTAGTTATTATGATATTTACAACAAGGTTAATTTATTTCACAATTTAATACATATTTTATTTTCTATATTTTCACATTTTACATTAGGCATTTACTTTAATTAAATTATATGTTTAAACAATATTTAGGCTCTGAAGATGGCATTACGCCGAAACAGCGCTGTTAGCTTTATTCCAGTTTTAGATAAATATGAACTCAAACAATACCGCCTCGTTGAATGTCTTATAAAGAAGTTAATTAATGCAAAATGGGCAAACAATTTCAATGAAATTTGCATTTCTGAAAACCTCGTTCCTAAATATATATATATATATATATATATATATATATATATATATATATATATATATATATATTGGTAACAGACTGTTGTTAACGCAACATTTCAAAAATTCAACACTACTTTCAACATTGTTCAACTTTTTTATATTTCTTTTTAATTTATTAATTTCAGAGAAATTAGATATTTTATTGTTTTTTAAAAATTTTTATTAAATAAATTTGCAAATAGCTATTTCGAGTTATAGCTATAGCTAAAATAGCTATAACTCATCTTCAGTGCGTTATATATAAGGTATGTAAGATATTTGATAAGAAGGAACAAGTAATTATTAATTTATATAAATTATTTAATTAAAACAGAAAACCAATAAAATAAATTTAATAACTATAAACAATATAAAACGTGATTTTTAAATTTATTAAAATTATTTAAATTTATCACCAACAATATTGATGATGTAAACAACAATCATACCAATAGTGACAACCTTAACAACAACATCAACAACAACAGCATCAACAATAACAACAACAGTGCCAACACTGTAGATACCAATGCTACAACCCACAGCGCAATTATCACTTGCAAATGGAACATCATCACAAGAAGCAAGAAGAACCACAGCGATGATAATGGGAACTCTTTTATTTTTTTTCCAAAAAAGAGGCGAAATAAATATTCATATTGAATTACACAAACAAATCCAAAAACCCTCGAGTATCGCGATTAAAATCCCCGCAAAAATAACTTTTAAACAAAATAAAAAAGGTAACCTTATACAAATAAACGTAGTCAGTATGTGAATAAATGTATTATGTAAATTTCAAAAATTGCGCCGTTATGATACACGCCCTTTTTGTCCGCGCCTTTTTTGCTTCGCCCTTCTGTCGTGATACCTCACAGCATTGTTTGTGCGCCTAGCCTCTCATTTAAAAAAAATTATATTCGCTCAGCGTTTTAAATTAAATTTATTAATTTTCAAATTCCGAGTAAGTTCGTGTCCGTACAAAAAATCAGTTGTCTGACAGAAACGTGCTGTTTATAATGCTGAGTAAAAATTAAATGACTAAGAGCGTATGATTTGATTTAGATAACAAAGTATTTGTATCGTCCGTTCAAGAGGTTTTATTGTGAGAATATATTTCTGATAAATTCACCAACAAATTTTTGTTTTCATTTTCAATTTTTCATAAACTAAATGAAAAAAAATAATGTTGACTATTCCAACGGAGGAACCGTAACATCGTCCACAAAGTTTTCGCTATTTGGTCTTTCGCTTCGATTGGGCATTTTACATTTAAAAACACATTTGTTCGCGTGTTTGGAAGAATTATAAATGTTTCTGTAATCGACGCGATTTGTGCAAGTTGGGTCAACTTCGAGATGTTCTTTTCTGGATTCTCTGCAATGGAAATAACATTTTAATTCAGTTTTGAATTTCACCCAATTCTCGAAACTTTAAGCAACTATATCAATTTCATAAACATTTTCCACTTATTTGAATTATTTATATAACAACTCATAAAGGAATGTCTTCAAGTTAAACTAATGAAATGATAAAACAAGTTATATAGCTTAATTTTATATAACCAATCGTACAATTAAATGTCATTTGAAAATTTTTAATGACAATTTTACACAATCAACTCTATATTATTAACTAAATAGCATGCTGACTGAATGCTTTATTTAACGAGTGAATGTCATTCCAAAATAAAAAGTCATTAACTCCTAGGCATTTATTGAAAAAGATCGTTAATTTACAGCCAAATTACCACATTGGCGTAAGAGATGAAATTTACAATCGATCAAAATCCCATAAAAATGAAAGATGCATAAATCAGTAAACTCAAGGTGGTTCGGCTCAAGAAAAAGCCACAGAAACCTGACCTTGAAACAAAAGAAAGTGGAAACAAAGGGGTTCGGAAAACCGCCTAAGAGATCCCAAAGGTTTTGAGTTTGATGCAATGGATGAACTTCGAAACTCTTCTGCTGGCTGGTAAACTTAACATCGGCAATGCTGTTGCAATCTTACTCTACTGGACTGGCATTAAATATCAGTATTGGGTATATTATATATATATTTGTAAAAAATGATAACCATACCACAAAAATGATTTTACGAATACTTGACCTCATAAAAATATAAAATAGAATCAGAGTTAGGATTGATTGAGTTATCCGTCAAAAGGTGCTAAATAATTGAGACGTAGTTGGATAAAGAGGAATAAAACTCCATAAAAAAGAACCAAAAAAAGCAAAAACAGATTCAGTTAAGTTCACGTATTTTGTAGGTTGCTGACTGTGGGAATTTAAGATCCTATGAAAAGGGTAGATGATCCACATGCCGTCAGTTTGAATGAAACATTAGAATTATTTCAGCCACATAACTACGTTACAGAACAGATTTGTGTGCGGTGTGCACAGTGGTACCTTTGATCGTGCCATTTCTTTAAGCAACGTTAAAATCGTAACAACAAAAGCTTTTCTATATAGTGAGCATTCGGACCACAGCTTTGTTGAAACGAGTATATGTTAAATAAGAAGCCATACTTTGAAATAATTGCCTACTAAATTTATTATACATGATTTACAATACCTAGCGATCGGAATGTTTTTTTTCTAAACGTACTATACTTTTGCACAGGCTTGTAGATTCTACAAATGTGGCGATGACCCCTACAACTTTCTGAGATGCTTTTTATAATGCGAGGGCCTTATATATTTTATCCATTATATATGAGGCTAGCCATACACGTAACGTGTACATTAACAATGTTGTCGTGAAAGAAAGACAAACTTGTCCCAGCGAGTTGCATCACTTAAATCTGACTTTGGTCTTTTTGTTATCTTTTCAATCGCAACATTTGCCTGAAAATAATTTAGAAATATAAAATTAAAAAAAAAGTTAAATTACATTACTAAGGAGACTATAACATGATCGTTGTCATTTACATTTATATACACATATACTTACACACATATATACAATTTATTGTAATCATCAAATATTTTACTTCACATAATTTTAATTTTGCGTTTTGTAATATTGTTCATTATTATCATCTTAGTTCATTTATTTTATTTTCTCGCCTTGCAAATTGTACTAGCGTCAGCGTTTGACAGGGTGGAATTTTTAAAAAAAAAAATAATAATTTGATCAACAAGATTTTCAATAATTTTTCTATTAGCCATCAACCATAAAAAGCTAATAAAAGTTTGTTTGATGAAAAAACGAGCAGCGAGTTCTTTTCAAGTTTTTTATTAAACGTTACTACAACTTTGCCTTGAAATCTGGAGAAATTGCTCAATGCCAACTGAATGGATCTATAGCATGACAGTTCCTCTATACAAAGGCAAAGGTGATCCATTAAACTGTTCATCATATCGGGGTAAACGTTTGTTAGAACACTCCCTGAAAATTGTCGAAAAAATCATTAAGAGAAGATTAACGTCGTGCATCACAATCGGAATTTATGAATTTGGTTTCCTAGCGGGAAAATCAACAATTGATGCAATTCACATCATTCGGCAACTGCAAGAGAAGTACCTCGCAAAGCATCAACAACTATCACACATTTTTGTAGACCTTGAAAAAGCATTTGATCAAGTTCCCCGTGAAGCAATCAGGTGGAGTCTACGTCGACAACTCATTCCAGAATATCTTGTTCGACTTGTATACGAATACTAAGACTCTCGTCAGCACAACGGTTGGAAACACAGATGCATTTGACATTGGCGTTGAAGTTCACCAAGGCTCGATTCTCAGTCCACTGTTATTTATAACTGTGATGGAAGAAATCACAAACCGATACGCACTGGTGACATTTGGAATCTAATATATGCTGATGATATCGTTTTAACAGCAACGTCTGAGCAGAATGTAGCACAGATGTTTGAAGATTGGAACACCAGACTCGCCGATCATGGATTCAAAGTCAATATCAGCAAAGCCAAAGCAATGAACACTGGTGAACCCATCCAATCCACAGCTACTAGACGATGGCCATGTTCAGTTTTTAAAGCTGGTGTAGGTAACAATTCAATCAAGTGTCAGCAGTGTAACCAGTGGTGTCACAAACGTTGTTCAAAAATAATTGGTTCTTTATCTAAAGTGTCCAATTTTGTTTGTCCTGCTTGCATCAATCCACAACAACAAATTCAAAATAGCAATGTTTTTGAAGCCATTAAGGTAGAAAAAGTCACATCGTTTCCATATCTAGGGGATGTTCTGGAATGTACTGGAACAGCTGAATCTGCCGTTCGAGCACGCATACGTGCAGTCTGGAATAAATGGCATCTCCTTGCCTCTATATTGATGCGGCGTGACATCCCACTACCACTACGATCAAGACTTTATAAATCTGTAATACGTCCGGTGTTGTTATATGGTGCAGAAACATGGCCAATGACAGCCAAACTGGAACAACAACTTCAACGAACCGACATGAAAATGCTCCGATGGATGCAACGAATTAGTCTGAAGGACCACATCAAATCCACTAAAATCCTGCGTCGTGCTGGTTTAGATGATATAAAGGACGAATGCCGGCAACACCGTCTGCGGTGGTTTGGTCATGTCAAACGAAGTAGAAACAGTGCCATAACTTCTCTTGCAGATGTTAAAGTACCTGGCACACGTCCCAAAGGCCGTCCAAAGAAGTCCTGGTCGCAAACAATCGAGCAAGACATGAAAGCTCTAAATTTAAATGAAATGGATACAACTGATCGTCTAATTTGGCGCAAAAAATTGATGGCAAAGAAAACAACGTTCTACCTCGGGGAACCGGAACTCTGGATGCAAAACGAAGATTGATTGATTGATTACTAAACGTTAACGATACCATTCATTTAATAAACACTGCACTTCGTAAACAATGGAGAAGTAGTTTGTGTAGAAGAAAAAGTTTTCCTGAAAAAAGGACTAAAAAATCGAAATTAGATTCAACATAACAGTGTTTAACAGGAATAAACGAAAAATGAGAATTGGAATACGATTGTGGATCGTTCGGGTTAAATTATAAAATCTGATAAATATTCAAAAAACAATTCCGATAGAGGCTTACACACTATGTGCAAATTTTAAAAATTGTTTTATACCTTAAAGGTAGCCAGCGTAAGGAAGAAGTTCTATTGATACAATAGTTACAATGAGACAGATAACGTAGAAGAAAAGGAAATTCATCGAGAATGCTTTCATCTGTTTTGTAAACTTTGTCCAAGCAAGCGATTCAGTCTGGGAAAAGAAGCATGGTAGATTTTTAAAACATGTGGCATACATCATAAAATATAAAAATTAAGAAAACAGAATGGTTGTGATAAAAATTAGGAACCAAACAGAATCAGATTGGTTCAGAATCGAGTCAGGTCTTTGTCAGAGATGTATTCTTTTCCCAATCCCATTTAATCAAGACAACGAAAGTTATGGGAACAATCAGCAGTTTTAAAATCAGGTAAGATATCAAAACGATTGTTAGTGATAAAGTTTTTAGGTTTATTAAAACATATCAGCTCAAATTTAAAAGGATTTAGTTGAAGGTGCATAAAAAGTGCAAAAAAACGAAATCGATGGAAAAGGCAGGACACATTTAAGATAATATGTTATCGAAAAATACTAAAAATTATATGGTAAGAAAAATCAAAAATAAAGACAAGATTAATCACCAAAAGGTAAAAAAGATCAACGATGTTATTCGTGAAAAGAAATTGCAACTTTTAGGACAAATTTGCAAAAAGTAAAGTAACTGATTTGTGAAACTGGTTATAAAAAGCTCTTTTAAAAGTGAAAGATCAATTGAATGGCCGTCAAGAAAATGAACGGATAATATAAGAGAATGGTATGAAGCAAGAACACATCAAGAAGTAGTCTAAAGAAGAGAACCCTTCAACGTGATTTCTCAAAAACAAGAATTATCGTCGGCCTCAACGTTCTCTTGAGAGGGAAAAACATATAGAGATAAAAGATAGACAAAGCTAAGTTAAAGCGGTAATAAAGATATTGATATAAAAAAAATGATAATAATGATATTGACACATGAGAAGTGATAATAATGATGTTATAAACAAGAATTTGTAATAATGATATTGATACATAAAAAAAGATAATAATAATAATGACAAATAAAAATGGTAATAATGATATTGTAAAGGCTCCATAGACATAGCTTCTCTAGAGGCGCTCGGAGCCTACTTATGCATTATGAAAAGTTGTCTTCAACATTTTTTCATAATTAGCTCAATGATGTACTCAACTCAGAGACAACACATTTCAAATGTTTTGACAAATGTTTACACCATACAAGCGGATTGGGCTATAGCGACTAGAATGTTCAGAAATCAACTAAAAAATTAAACCAAAAAATAGATTCACTGATCAGACCACCATAAACAGAAAAATTACTCTAAAGTATGAGGCTTACAAAAGAACAAACAAAAGAGGAAAATATTAGATAATAAAAATTAGTCCAAAAAAGACAATAACTTCAGTAACCCGAATATTAAACGAAAGAAATTTCTAGATGAAAAAATTAAATTGGGTGATACAATTCTTTGATTTTTTGAATAGATATTTTTTTTAAAAAAGATTGAAATACACTGAAATCAAACCCTAGGCATAGTTATAACAAGATGTCCTGTAACTAATGATCTTTCAGCTTTGCTCTTTTCTGCAACAACATCGTCTGGTAATGATAGTTGGAAAATCTTGCAAAAAAATTTATTCACGTTCTTTACTGAATTACTTATAAACATCATCAAATCAATAATGAATATTTTAAAAACCAAAACCAAAACATCAGCTATAAAACAATTATGAATTAATAATAAACAAGTTTTTTAAAGCAACGTTCTAGTGTGAATTTCGTTTCTTTATTTATTTTCACGTTAAGTTCTTCCAAATAATTTCGGTTTCGGTTTTCTTTTACAAATTTTTTTATTTTTTTAAGTTTTAATTTCGTTTTTAAGAATTATCGTTTCAGCTTTCATTTTTAAAAATTAGAAAATCCTAAAATATATTTTTGTGATATACACAAAATTTTGAAACAATAAAAAGGTATAAAAAAATTTAAGCCCTCAAATAACTGCTACATTTTTGTTTAATTTTTCCTTATTTTTCTTCTACATTTACGTTTATGGAGATAATTGAAATAATCCCACATTGGAAAATCTACAAGGAGGACCTAAAATGGAAATCATTTTAAAATTACTTTAAAATCATTTTAAAATTAGTTAACATTAGACGTGTATATAAAACAAAACCAATTTTGAAAAACCAGATTAACTGTCAAATGGAAACCTAACTATCTTATTAACGCTCTTCTACGATCTCCAACAAGGAATGACCTTCAAACTTCGTGTAGCGGATAATAATCGTGATATATATGCAGTAGCAATAATCTTAGACATGTAAATACCTTTCCCTCTGGTAAAAATAGATTGTTAACAAGATTTAACAAATAAATCTACTAATGTTACAAAAAAAAACAAAAAGTAAACACATAATGAATAAAGAAACAAAATAACGTCGTTTATTCAATGTTTCTTAAAATGTAATAAATGATTACTAACTTTAAATTCAAGAGTAGCGATTTTATTTTTACTTTCAAAGTATAACTCAAAAGCCACCTATGCTTAATAACTACATCGCCGTTAGCAATCATAGTTTTAGGAAATAATAATGAATTTTTATAAACCAATAAGTTGGTTTAAATTTTTTCGTTTTTATTTCAATCGAGTTTTTGAAAAATTTTTGTTTCTGTTTTATTTTTTATGGCAATTTTTTTAGTTCTTTTCAGCTTTCGTTATCGAATTCCACACTAAGTACGTGTTAAAACAATAAATAAATCTTTTTACTTTTGTATTAACAATAACTTGAACGTAGGTGGGCTGTACATCAACTTCACATAATTTCGAATCTAAGAATCTGTTGGTTTAAAAAAGATTACTACCGGAATAAATATTCTAAGATTCCTATAAATCATTTAACAATCATATAACGTGATTTTCAAGTGAAATAAAAATTTAGAGCATTTATCCAACAAATATTACTGAAAGTCTTCAATCCATCGTAGATCGTGCACAAAATGGGAAACTAATTTTTTTCCAATTGTAAAATACAATATAATCATGAGAAAATTGAACCGTAATAACTGAGTCTTATTAAATTACAATCTCCTCTTAGCATTAAACTGACTATCGTGAGCCAAAGATTCAAGAGCAGATAACGTGAGAACAATCAATTCAAAACAGGCGACTGCTAGGAAAAAATTTCAATGTTTTTGAGTACTTTCTAACAATCATCATAGACCAAATAACTTTACAATGGAAAAACCAACCTGAATAACGCGATGTCCAACACGAGATTGTTTTTTTCAACATCTTCGGTAAGCGTGAATTTCAATCTTCATTACAAACGTTTTTTTTTTTTGTTAAATTCGTAGGTTTGAAAGTCAAAATCAAGTGGAAAATAATAAAATTACTTGGGTTCATTGATGTTCAGCCTTCTTCCGTCCTCTGCAACCAATTTTCTTACTTTCTTTGTTTCTTCATTTCTTTTATTAAATAAATAAATGTTAAACGATAAAACTTCAAATAATATAATTTTAAACAAAATTGTTTCTTGCTTTTCTGTGAAAGAACATCTATGTAATATTCTTCGCAGACAAAAAGGTATTTTTTTTAATTTTTAAAAACTTTTTAACCTTTGATGGCATTTAAAGACTGTACATGTAGCTTATTCTTTTTAGTCCTGGTTTTTTTTTCACATGTCATTTTGATATAACCGGTGAAATAATAATAAATTACTTTCCGTAATCACTCTTGCTTTTAAAAAACATCCAACATAATAAAAACGTTTATTACTTCACCGATTACATCAAATTAATATGTGACCGAAACACCAGACTAAAAAGAATAGAATGAAAAACAAAAAATCTTTTAAGAAGTTTTTTCAACTTGAAAGATCAAAATAATTTTAAACTCAATAGATCAAATATAACTAGTAAAACAAAAAGTAGAAAATTAAATTAGTTATAACTTTTCAAATTATTTTGTGAATCCGCTTTTTTAATTCCAAAACTTATTATAACCTTTTTCTATTTTTTCTTTAACAAATTAAAAATAATTAATCTGTATCTAAATTTTAAAATTATTTCAATCTTTTAAGTTTCAAGAAAACATTTTTAAAAAACCTTCTAAATTTTTTCAACTCAAATGAACGAAAACACAATCAGCGTGAAGAGCGACGGGGTTCTCAACGGAGTTTAGAACCGCCAGTCAGCGCGGCGCTCACTTTTATTTAATTTTATTGTTTCTTTACTTAAATTTTGTGTGATCGAGTCCGTAATACAACTGACAGTAGATTTTGCATCAGCACTTGTAAGCACACGCATCCATTAATCCTCTCCTCTCACTGAGAACCACTTCAAGTTTTAAGCCAAATACTTCCACGTTGTTTACACATCACTTTTCCACATCAGCCCCGGCTTTTTCGCCGTCTTTTTATTCTATTTCCGGTTTGATTCCATTTCCGGTTAATCGTTCTTTTTTACAGCCCAAAGTTTATTATCTGCTTTTCTTACCAACATCAATTTGCACGATTGTCCCTATCTTACTGACGCGTATAATCTAAATAAATAAAAATTTCTATTGTGTCAAGTCCTGCATTAAAAAGTTATTAAACGTGAGATAACATTTATGTTGAATCCCAAATGTATCGGCATAAAAACTTCGTCTCAAACTTCATTATAGGAACCACAGAATTAATAAGCATTATGTGAACCTTTAACATTATTTGTGCGTTCATGTTTGAGTGGAAGCCTGCTTAGCTAATGAAAAATTTGATACACGATTAATTCAATTTCGTTCGTCATTTGTTACCTTTTTTTTTAATTTTTTGCACTTCATTTTATAAATGAATACTTGAAGACAGGGGATAATCATAATGAAAAAACCTGCGTTGGTCTGTTTGCGACATCTTCTGCTTGTGTTCGTATATCAATATTCTTGATTCAGGCGTGTATTCTGATGGTTTAGACCAAAAGCTAGAACATTAATATATGATATTGCCAGCGTTAAAAATTTATCCCGTTTGGAAACACTTACAAGTTGAATTAAACCTAAATATCATTAATTGTGTAACCTTTGATAACTAAATAAGTAAAAAATGAATAGCAAGAATAAATTATGTGGGACGCACGGTACCTATCGTCGTTCACATCATCATTGGGAGCATCTTTGGGAGAAGCATCATTGGGAGCATCATTGGAAGCATGTTTCTCGTAATGGCAGCTTTCACGTCTGTTGCGGCAATTCACAAAAATTTTAAAATGCAAAAGATACACAAGATAAAAAAAAACAACTTTTCATTTGCACTTTCCAATTTTTGCTTTTCCTGTAAAAGTTAATGTCGAAAAAATATATATAAATAACACTGAAATTGTTAAATGTTACCCTGGCAAGAAGATTTCGTTTTTGCTGGTTAATAATTTCACCCTTGGCCTCTTCGTACAGCTTAAAAAGTTCAAAACTTACTTAAAATAAGTACGATGAAATTTTTATACTTTTTTCAAATACCTGAGAGGCAATGATTCTTTCCGTTTTTGTTATTTCTATTCCATCCAGTTTCTAAAAAAAATCATGAAAAACTTTTTTATGTCAATTATAATTAAAGTAGTAAAGTTCTAAAAAGAAAATATTAACAAACATAGGATAAATAAAAAAGAAAAAAATTATTATCCAAATTTATTTACAAATTTGAATAATTAAAAAATTTTAGTATCAGCACAACAGAAATAAAACATTCTCAATACTTGTCAAATTTATTCAAAGATGCCATCCTCGTATTTCCCTTTCATCAAAAAAAAAATGATTTACATTCTCGTGTTGAACACTTTACACTCAAATGCAGCAGTTCTTTTATTGTTAATATTTAACAGCTCTCTTCTTTCGTTTTAACACATCCATCACTGTTTTATTTTTCATGTTTCTAAAGAACCTTTAAATTAATAACAAATCTACGGCGTCAAACATGTTTGCCACTGTGAAGCGTTGTTTAACGATCAAGATCAAGATCAACGATATTTATCTTTTGATGGAGACACGAAATATTTTTTAAGAAATTAAAATTTTTTATTTATTCTTTACAACGCATGACGCTCCACCGACTGAGTTAACTTGGCAACCGATTCGTTCTCACTACTCGGTGTTTTACTTTTACTTACTGCTTGCCTAATTTTGTTCACAGATTTACTTTCCTAAATTGACTCGATGGCAACATGAGTAACTTTTTGGGGTTGTTTGGTCGGTCAGTCAATCGATCAACCAACCAATCAATCAACTTACAAACCAGACAACCGATCAATCAACCAACCAAATAATCAATCGATCAACCAATGAATAACCACCAAAAACAATGAAACAAAAGTAAAACCAACTACATCAAAATCCCCACCATCATCCTCATACAAACCAAATAACCAGCCAACAAACCAACCAATTAATCAACAAACCAAGTAATCATTCAATCAATCAGTCAGCTAAACGATGATTGATTGATTGATAGTCAATCAATCAACCAACCAATTAATCAAACAATCAACCAACTAACTAATCAATCAATCAACAAACCAAATAACCAGCCAACCGATCAACCAAACTATCAATCAACCAACAAACCAAATATCCAACCAAACGATCAACCAATCAGTCAATCAATCATTTAATCAATCAACCAACCAACGGACCAATCAATCAACCAACAAACCAAATAACCAGCCAACCGACCATACAACCGATCAACCAACCAATCAATAAATCAACCAACAAACCAAATAACCAACCAATCAATCAACTAACAAACCAAGTAATCAATCAATCAGTTAATCAATCAGCCAACTAACCGATCAATCAACCAAACAACTAACCAATTAATCAACCAACTAACCAATCGACCAACTAATCAATCAATCAATCAATCAATCAACTAATCAATCAATCAGTCAATCAATCAACAATCAATCAATCAACAATCAATCAATCAACCAATCAGTCAATCAACCAACCAATTAATCAGTCAACCAACCAATCAACTAACCAAGCAATCAATCAGAGGTTTTTGTCGAACGTACATGTACGTACAGTACAATGTACATTATGTACATATATGCACAGTACATGTACATACGTGAAATTAAACGCATTAATGTTCATTTGACAATAAATTCATTTTCCTCACCTTTTTGTAGACAACATTTGAACTAAATTCCTAGTGATCTAGCGTAACAAAGAAACAAACTTCATTGGAATAAATATTAACATTATTGTACATAAAATGGTGAGTTGAATAGGTAGGTGGAATATGTTCTAACAGCAAGCTGTGGGAGAGTGGCTATGACGTAGGAGCGATAATGTTCAAACTGGGTACATGGATTTCCTACTAAATACCTTCAATTAATTTATGTTAAGGTTAGCAGCACAATTTCAATAACTGCAAATTTTATTAATCTTAAAATTTATAAATTAAAAAATACTCAACAGTTCCTCAAGGTTGTTGTTGTTTTTTAAACTTTCAATGCTTGTTAATTTATTTATGAAATTCACAGTCAGATCCAGTTTTTTTAATGATTCACATCCTAACAATTAAAATTAATCTTTTACCATAAATGCTATTAAAAATTTTAATTAAAATGATTACCTTCCAAATTTTCGACTTCTTCTATGTTATTTAAACCAAGTTTTAAATACTCAAGTTTTTTAAGTCTGCTAAGATTTTCTAAAATTTGTTATAAATCATGTATACGAAAAATTTATTTAATTATTTTGACAATCAGTTATAAAAATTACCTATTTTTGGTATTAAATTACTTGTCAGATCCAAAATTTTCAACTCCCTGCACCACTTATCAAGCCACTCAATCCTGTGAAATGCATTAAAAAAAGAAATTAAACTAACAGGCTCAGCATCAACTTCTAAAGTCTATTTAAGCTCCAAAATAATCCCAAAACAACAAAAACTTAAGGTAAATTGACTTTATGAAGTAAAAAAATTGAAACTGAACATAATATAAATAAATATAAACAATGTGTTGTACCTTTCAATATCTCTCTGGTGTAAAGCCAATTCTTCCAACGTCGATAACATACCATCATTATGCTCAGAACTCTTTCTCAAAAGATTTTCAGTAACTAAAAACAAATTCATTTAAAATCATACTAAGTAACAGAATAGATTAATAGAAGATATTAAATATATAGAAAATTTTATAGGCACCTCTTCCCTACCAAATGAAAAACTACTTTAAAAAATATACAAAGACAGCTTCAAATGCAATTTATATTAAAAAATTTAATTACTAAAAATTTGAGAGTTAATTTTTATCAAACAATTTAATTTCAATTCCTATACTTTTTTTATTTCATTTTTATAACACTATTTCTAAAATAATGTAACAAAATTTATAATATAAAATAAAAGCAAGTTATATTCAAATTAATAATCATAACATAATGGTTACATTATAATATATTAATGATAATTATAATATTATATAAATAAAAACATTTATTTATATAATTATTAAATTAAAAGATTAATTAAATATAAATAAAATTAAAAATAAATTAAAATAATAGTCATGTAGTCAGGAAAAAGAAAATTAACGACGAATTTCACTTTTTTGGCAATGAATAATCTCTTTATGAAAAAAAACTAACTTAAAACCATCATTAAGAAGTTTAGTAGCTCAGCAGTTAAGTTTAGAACTAAAATAACTTTTAAACCAACGCTTGTCAATCCGTTCATGTGCTCTACCACAGAGACACCGTTGCCATAGCTGCAAATACCAATAAACACAAAAACAAAGAAAAACCACTTTTGGTGTGGTCACGTGTATTTAGAATTCGATATGCCTGTGTTTTATGAAAAGCGGTATAGCGGTATGGTAAGTTATTAATTAGCATATTGCGCTAACAGGTCATTAAATATGCCAGTTTATTTTCAGGTCATTAAATATGCCAGTATATTTTCTGTTAAGTATTAATTAGCATATGTGCTGCTAAAGGGTCATTTGCGTATACGTGCCATCAAGCTATCGGAATCCATTTTTGATGCACCGCCTCTACTGTGGCCATATAGAGAACATAGAGGGATTGATGATGTCATATCATATCACAGTTGGACGTATGTATAACAAATTTCATGATTCTTGGGAAAAAATTTGTTTGCTAGAAAAAGGTCCAACCTGAATATTTATTCTAGTCTATATTTATTTATTTTTATTATCAAAAATTCATAGAGCGTTTAAAAAACAAAAAGTTTCTCAAAGCACTATTCAGGACCGAATAAAGCTATCTTGTCGTCCTAGGCACAAACCCAAATTGATGCCACTTTCCCCCAAAACTCCCGATCTCCAACTGACAGTCGGCATGTTTAATATTATGCAAGACGGAGCCGGACTAAGCTATCTTGCTGCCCTTGGCACAAACCCAAATTGGTGCCCCTTTTCACCAAAACTTCCGACCAATCTCCCACTGACAGTCGGCATGTTTAATATTATGCAAAAAAACTATCCATATTATTAATATTATGGACGTGCCCCATAACGGAACGTTGCCGTGTTCACAAAAGTGCCTCCATTTCAATCGATCATGAACAAGTCTCCAGGTCGAGTAAGGACTGTAGTCGATGAGGGACAGGTCCTTCTTCACTGAGCGGATTCATGATTGTCTTGGATGGCCTCGAGATCGAGTCCAGTCTGTTGGCGGCCGGTCTATGACAGCTTTTAAAGCCAGGTAATGATTCTCCATAGAACTGGCACGAGCTATGTGACCAAAAAAGTTTAGACGACGCCAGAACAGAAATGAAGAAACGGAAGGCTGCTCTGTTTTTCTTTTCTTCTCACCTCAACGTTGGTGACGCTATCGCGGTAGGTCATATAAAGGATTCTGCGCAAGCACCATTGATCTGTAGCGTCTAGCCTCTTGAAATGAGCGCCAGTAGTTGACCACGTCTCGCATCCATAGAGCAGCACGAGGATGATGTATACAATCGAACTTTAGTCGTCACTGAAATGCACGAGTGCCATATACCACGATCCAGGGACCTCATACACGTGCGGACAATGATGATTTGACGCAAAATTTCGGCGTCACTACTGCCCGACGAGTGTATTTGGGAGCCGAAAAACAAATCCACAATCTGTACGTTTTTACCCAGCACAGAGACAAACGCGGGTGACGGATCGCCCAGAAAGATGGCCTAAATTTTCGTTTTGTCCAAGTTGTTTTCAAAACCAAAAGGCTTTGCCTCCTCGGACGTAGCAGCCAACGACAGTATGAAAACATCTCGCATTTCAGCCAGCAGAGCGACATCATCTGCATAGTCCAGGTCCGTGAACACCTCCCTGCCGATAGTGGCGCCGAGCATTCCTTTGTGTACGGAACGCTACATAATCCAATCTATCGGGGCCAAAAACTCATCCGGCGCAAGTATACACTCCTGTCTGACGTCGCTATCAATTTCGAGCCACCAAGAACATCGCCCCTCCGATCTAACACAACTCAAGGTGTGGGTATATAGAGCCTTAAGCAGTTTTACGAGGTGATTGGGAAGACCCAGATTACGAAACAACACCCACATATCATCCCTGTTGACTGAATCAAAGGCCGCTCTGAAGTCAACGTAGGCAATCCTAGGGAGGTCTACCGAATTCACCTCTGATCTGTAGAAGGAGTGGGAGCGTGAATATCCTGTCGATGATAGACCTACCAGGCGTGAAGCCACTTTGCTCTCCACGACGCCGAGACAACAAGAGAAGTCGGATGCGATCAAGAAGGACGCGGGCAAACACCTGCCGAAATTGACAGCAAAGTGATGCCTCTACAGTTTTTACATTTACGGCGCGATCCTTCACGCTTGTAAAATGGAATGATGATACCTTTCCTCCAATCATCCAGGACCGCACCGGACTGCTACAACGGGTGATGACAAAGTGCAGACAACTTGAACACATAGTTCCAACTGATTTAAGCATCTTCGGACGAATGTTACACAGGCCCGGTGCCTTGCCGCTCTTTAGCATTCCTATAGCCGCGACAATCTCAGGCTATGGAAGGGGTTTAGTGTCAATCCCGGAGCCTTGGGCATTAGATTCAAAAAAATCTACCAATTCCTGCGAGAGCGCTGACATTGGGCAGTTAAGCAACTGGCTGTAATATTCTCGCCATCTCTCTAGCTTTCCGCTTCCGTCATTAATCAACCGGCCAGTACCATTGAAGATTCTCAACTATTATTTGGAGGTTATCTATATAAGCGTGATACGAAAACCCAAATAAACTTGTAAGGAAATTAATATATAAGATAGTTAACAAATAAATGTTTGATCCCTACAAACTAATAACATCATATAATTTTGCTGTATACAATACAAAGAGAATGGGTCTAAGAACGGAGCCTTGCCGGACTCCAGATGTCATTACTACAATATTAGATAATTTCTTTTTAAAGTAGACCTGCTGAGTTCTATCAAATAAGTATGATCTGAACCAAGTACCTGCCACCCCTGAAACACCGTAGTCATAACATAATATATCCATTAAAAATTGGCGGTTAACGCAATCAAATGCTACACTGAAATCTAAAAATGTTAACAGAGCAATATTCTGCTTGTCAACAGCAGCATATAATTCAGATACAACATATAACAGTGTTGTTTCATTGGTGTGATGATGTTTGTATATGCCTATATGTTTGCATCATATCAACTACACTATATATTTCAGTGATCATAAAAATAATAAATTAATTAATTAACGTTTGTTTGTTTGAATGATTACTAGATTACTAGGCAAATCTTGGACGAGAATTTTGAAATCTTACATTTCAATAACAACCATTATAATTTAGAACTAGCCGATTCAATACTCGTAAAAAAAGACATCCGCTAATAAAAACTGAACAAATCTTGGACGAGAATTTTGAAATCTAACATTTCAATAACAACCATTATAATTTAGAATTAGCCGATTCAAAACTCGTAGAACAAAGACATCCGATAATAAATACTGAACAACGTGCAATTGAAATCATTCCACTAATAATTTAGAAATAGAGGAATCATCGAAAATGATGATTGAACGAAGTTGAAGATCATAATGACTAATTAAATGACCGTTAAGAAACAAAGAATTTACATTGTAGAGACACAGTATATATCTACTTGAGCATTCGGCCACATACACAACGTATCATTTCGAACACCGACGATGGTATGAGAATACCAGAAAAGCTTTTTTGTTCTATCATGCTTAAAATAAAGAAAAATTTTAGTTTTGAACTCAAGAAACTTGACATTGATTTACCATTTACCGTTATGAAAATCAAAAAATTAAACAAACATATAACTAACGTCGAACATGCTGTGATTTTTATCGATAATTGGATTTCTGATAGTCTTAATCCTATAAATTCATATATATATATATATATATATATATATATATATATATATATATGCAATTTTTGATAAAATCTACCGAATATATATGTATAATATATATATATATATATATATTAGACACCTTTTTTAAGTTCATTAATTTTAGGAGATATCGGAGTACTTCCTGCAATTTGATTCTGATGGTATTTGCTGACACATACTTCCTCATCAGACTTACTGCTTATGTCATCTATTGATGTTGAATTATCATCATCATCTTCATAATTGGCTATGTTTCTCTTTTTATTAGGTTTTTCTTGTTTTTGACTCTTGCTAAGTTTCCTTTTTAATCTTTTCTCTTCTTGTTTGGCAAATTCTTTGTCTTCTCCAAACAATATACTTCTATAATGTTTTATAAAAACATGTAAAAATATTTTAAAAACCCCAAACACCAAAAAAATCATTCAGGCTTCATAAAAAAACAAAATGTGATTTGAGAGGTCACTAATACTTATCCTTTTTAATTGAAATTTTTACAGGATGATACAAATATAAAACCACACCATTTTTCAAAAAAAAAAATTTATTTTTGAAACAGTCTAATATATATATATATATATATATATACCTATATATATATATATATATATATATATATATATATATATATATATATATATATATATATATATATATATATATATATATATAC